GGCAGCCGAAATTTCGGTGCATCTCTAATTATTGGCGACATCAGAAATGGATATTATATAATAGATGCTTTTCTGAACATTTTAGCAATTTAAAAATATTAAAAAAGGGTTTTTTTACACGGCACCCCTGCTCTCGACAGACGGCACCCGCGGCACCCCGGTTGGGAAACACTGGCCTACATAACTCAGACAATCAGACTGGAATAAGTTCTATATAGCTTAGTTATATAACTTAGATATAGGCCTATACCTTAAATAAGGAAACTCTTTTCCACATTAAAAGACCTCAAACTGACAAATTTAACTTTTTACAGCAATTATGTAAAACAGTAATCAGATTGAATTCAGGCAACAAATGGATAAAATGCTCTTGTAGCATGTGAAGAGTTTCTGAAAATGACTGATGGTTCCCACCTCACTGTAAAATAAGAACGATCTTGTAGAGATTGTCACATAATGTGGCTTTTTGCTTTTTGATGCATCTAGATTCTCTGTCAAAAGACTCGTGTGTCTTCTGAATTATAAGTCGATACATTGACAGATAAGAGGGGAAATGAGTTGCATTGTCCTCTGAAAACCATATCATCTTCCCAGATAAGATTGAGCAAAGTTCAAGGGCAGAACACCAAGAAAATAATGGAATTAAATGAGTCTGAATGTCCATTTCCCTACACCCTTTGCATCCGCGGTCGAGGTGTTACGTGAGGAAAGCTGGACATCCACACAACAGCGCGAGGAGCTTTGGAGTTCCCATTGGAGCCGGAGCTGCTCTTGCTTCGGTTGATGTTCTCCGAGCAGTACGTCTTCATTCGGTACAAGTTGGCTTTGCTCTCGCAGCAGCCCATGGAGCTCAGAAGGATGTATGCGTCCTTTCTGAAGGCCCTGGTGAAGATGGCATACAGGAAGGGGTTTGCGCACGAGTTGATGGGGTAGAAAAGCACAAGGAGGATCTTAGAATTGGTCACCGTGATGAGCGGGACTTTAAAGGCCGCAGAGATGGCGAAAAACGAAATGGGCGCCATGCACAGAAAGTCGGTGAAGATCAGCACAGCCATGCGTTTGGCGATCTTGGCGTCGGCGGTGCGTCCGGGGAACTCGGGGTTGCGAACAGCGGTGTAAATGCACACGTAGCAGCCGCAAATCACCAGGAAAGCGCCGACGTTGAACAGCAGGAGGAGTATAACGTAGGCTTGGGATAAAGGCATCTCAATGTCCATCGGCAAACACATGCTGACTTTGTTGTAGCTGCTGACGCCCATTAAGGGGAGGAGAGCCATTCCTAGACAAACCACCCATCCGACGACCATTATCGATGAAGCGTGCCTCAATCCCAGACGTCGTTCCAGATGGAGAGCGTGTGTGATCGTGTGCCAGCGCTCAACGGTAATGGTAGACAGAGTATAGACAGATAGTTCGCCGCCAAACACGGACAGAAACCCGGCGATCCCGCATCCCACTCCAGTTTGCCACTCGATAGCGTGCTGGCTGTAATGCCCTCGTGTCATGAGATCCACGGTGGCGATCATAAGCAGATACACGCCGATGCAGAGGTCGGCAAAGGCCAGGTGGCACATGAGGAATTTCGGGACGGTCAGTTTGCAGCGGCTGGTGAATAACACAAGCAGCACCGTCAGGTTGCCGACGATGGCCAGAACGTTGATGAACCAAATAGCCACTCGCAAGAAGCCAAATCCGGCGATGTCCTCGCAGGGGTTGAAGGCGTCAGCCTCTGGGCTGCACTGGAGGGCCGGTCGGCGCTGACACAGGTCCAGCTCTGGGTAATAGAAGTCCATGCTGCCAAACGTGTCCTCAGCTGATGTGAATCCAACAATGTCAGATGCAAGAGGACCATCCAGCGTTAGAGAATCACCAGAGGCAACGTCAGATGGACTGAGAATGAACACAGTGAGAAAACAGTCATGTCACAGTATGGTGAAAAATATGACACCATACTTTGCCTAAGTAGTTGTATATATGGTGGGTGCTATTATCGTTAAATAAAACATAAATAAAATAAACGTTACCTAACATAAAATACAATATATAAAAAACTTGCGCTTATTTTATTTCAGCTAGCTACCAAGCATCATTTCTCATTTTCATTCTAAAATAACTCAAACAAATAAAAATAAATAAAAACACAACAAATGAACTAAAATGTTTGACTAAAATATACATCAAGAGTACAGAGCTATAAAATTCATATGGATTACATAGCTCAGATGATCTGGTCTCTGAAGAATCTGACTGAAATAAAATCAAATATATTTTTAAAAAATGTTAAACTTAAGCTTATTTTATCTCAGCTTGTTGCTGAGGTTACATCTCTCATTTTCGTTTAGTTCACTTGGAGTACTAAAATAACTAAAACTTAAGTAAAAACATATAGACATAAAAAACACTAATAAAATCACAAAAACACAACAAAATTACAAAAACTTTAACTTTCTAAAAATTCCAAATATTAATAAAAAACTATAGTAGTAAATCAATGATACTAAAATAACACTGAGAGGTTAAGCTTATATTATACCATAGAATGGAGTACTTAATGTCATTTTTAGAATCTTCTGAAACGTTTGTAACAGATGTTTCATCTTAAATATTTTGACGTATAAAATCAGGAACAAATTAGTCTATTTTTGATATATAATCAGAGCGAAGAGCTATAAAATTCATATGGATTGCATAGGTCAGTTAAATTGGTCTAATCCTGATTTTCACTTTTTCCACTCCTTTGCAAGTTAAATGATACATGATACATTTTGAATACTTCCTCTCGTCATTATTATGATATTTTTTTTTAACATTTGACTGCTTTTGTTATTTTGATAAGTGCATTAAAGTGGATACATACATGTATAATTTGAAAAAAAAACGAAAAAAAAAAAACTAAATGATGGAAAGTTTTTGTTGATATTTTTTTTTAACTCAGTATCAAATTAAGTATTATTAGGCCTTTTTTTGTAAATCAGCAGCATTTTTTTTCCCAAGATGCAGGGCTGTGCAGTCAGAAAACAGAACTTTAGTCTTACTTTGCTGGTGAACTGTCACCACAGTTTGATGATCCATTTCTCAATGCAGTGATAACAGATCCCTCCCTGTATGAGAACCAGAAAACTGATTTCAGACATAATGAAGGCCACGACATGAAGGCATTGACTTAAACTCATGATCCTCTGGTTTAGATCTGAACAGTGAATCATAATATTAAAAACAAATCTCAGCTGCTTAAATCTTATTGGAGCTCTGTTTGTAATCTCATTATGTCAATGATTTTATAACGTTCATTCAGCGAGAAATGATGCTCTTATTCAAAATGACGATGATGATGATATTTTATTCCACAGTAAGACATTGGTGTTTTGATTTGTGTGTTGACCTGTTGGAGTCCCAGCTGAGCAGAGCGCAGCAGTGGCTGGGATACGTGAGCTGCGCTTCTCTCAGGCTCTTCAGTGCGTTCAGAGGAGGAAGTCTCTTCAGAGCGAATGCTGAACGAGCCACCAGCATCAGCACCGACTCCAGGCCAGGAGAGGGCAGCGTCTCCAGTGCCGTGGATGACACATCCCTGGAGAAAAAGTCACAAAATGGGGCACAAAGTAACGTGGGGTTAGTTGTAACGCACATGGTTTGAATATTTCCACACATGCTAGCATAACACAATTTACAGTATTTATTAGTTACCATATCAACATTATATAGAAAAAAAAGTGTGTTAAAATTAAAAAATCTTTTGAAGATATCAATGAACATTTAAAATTCTGGCTTAAGTAAATTTTTAATCTCTGTTTTTAATAATCATTTAAAATGAGACAAATCTGATATTATTTTAATCTCCAATCTGTTATTTATCAGTTTAGATTTTTTTTTAATGCTTCGCTAACTAGCAGAAGACAGCAACGGGTTTTAAACTCTAGTTGCG